AGGGCCCTCTTGGCCCGCTCGCGAACCTGATGCTTGCGAGCGAACGCACCCGCGGCACTGTCCCGACTGGCGGCCTCCCCCTGAACGTCCTCCGAAACGATGCCATCAACCCCCTCGTCTCTGAGCAGCAACTCGGAAGGCGGGGCGTCGCCGACCCGGTGGCAGGATCCATTTTTTCGCCGACGTAGCTACGCGAAGAATGAACCCACCTCGGCACGCGGCCCGGGCTGGACAGCATCGGCGGCCTTGGCCGGCGCGCTCTTGATGGAGCCACCGCGGCGCTCGACGCGCCCGCTCTGCCGCGGCGACGCGGCGCCACAGACGTGCCGGGGCGCCCCAGAATGCCCGCGGCCACGGCTGAACGCGCCAAGAAACTCTGGCCCGCCGTCTGATAGGACGACTTTGGGGGGGGGGCAGGAATCCGAATCCAGCTCGCATCGAAAGAAGCCCAGACATTTCCAGACTTGAACGACCCCCGGGGCCGAAGAGGCGGCGCAACTGAAATCCTGAGCCGCGGCCGAGCACGTTGAGCATCGCCAGCTTCGCACTGAGAACCGCAACGAACAGACAGTCTACTGCCGCAAGACGTTTGAGACAAAACGCCCAGGGAACTGTCGCCCGACGTGCCTAGGAGGGTCTGGCGCGGCCGCCACGTGGCTCGCAACGAAACTCATGCTTAGCATGCTCGGTGGCCTCGGGCCCCACCTGGGCCAGCTGCAAGATCATTACATGGGCGTTCCTGGACGCGCGTCCTAGGTTAACGCGCGTGCGAGTAATCTCCCGACGCGCGCTTCGACTGATTGACCCGGCCTGCCCCCCTTCCCTCCCCCCGAGCCCGTTCCCGGGCCCTCCTGCGCCATCGTTCTCCTCGGGGTCTCCGTCCGAATCGGAAACGCTGAAGGCGGGGATAGGTCGAGGCTGGCCGACTGGGGGACTAAGTCGCGGCGACTCCCGCCTGACTGATGGTCTCCTCCGGATGACCGAGCGCGACCCCGTGGGCAGATTTTCGGCACGCCCTCGCACGCGGCACGAGAGAGCTCAGGAGGGCAGGTCTGGGCCGCACCGGCGAGAGCCACGCCGCGCAGCTGGCGGCGCTGATGGCCGCCGTCGCACCCGAGCAGAAGCCGCCGGAGAATCGGCGCCCGAGTGGCCATAGAAATCGCAAGCTTCTCGTTCGCCCCCCCCCCCCACCCCCACCCACCCACCCACGGCCAGCCCGTGCTGCCAGAGGCCGGCCACTCCAGACACGACCCCGGGTCGCCCCAACATATGTCGAACCGACTCCGGGCCCGCCCAGCTCGACGCACGACCTTCCACGCGGCCCTTTCCCCGGACCCAGGTACCAGATCGCGACCAGCCCGCAAGCCCACCCCCCTGGAAACTGGGCACCCCTGCCCCTTCAGAGCGGCCGAAACCCGATGGGGCCGAGAAAAGCTCCAGGACGAGAGCGCGTTTGGATCGGGACATCCAACCCTGCGCGAGCCGCTTCCGCCGCCCCCGCCGCCCCCGCAGAGGCCCCCCCAACCACGGGGGCGGCTTCCCGGACCCCCCTCGAAACCTGACGCGAGCGCCCCCGAACTTACGCCAGCTCCGAGATCGAGGGGCCCCGCCCCAAGGAATAGACCCCTCCTAGCAGAGACGAGGTCCAGGCGGAGCCCTCGAGCACGAGCTAGGCGGGGGCGCGCTCGTAGATGCCGAGCCCACGCCTCTACAATTATGCAGCCCTGGCCTCGCGGGCGACGGCGGCCTGCCCCACCGCGCGGAGAAATCCGACGAGAGAGAGTCACTGAGGATGTTTCTTTAAGATCCCCGGCGGCGAACCCTGGCACATTCGAAAACGCGATTGCCCAGGGCCCCGGTGTCGGACTGACGCGCGAGATGGCAGGCCACATGCGCAATCTGCTGATCCCCCCCCCTGCGACCGAACTAACCTGCCACCCCCGAGTCTCCGAGATCTCGTCGAGCGACGCCGCTCGACCCGCGCCCCCGCCCCACCGGCCCCCAGAGGCCAAGGGGCCGCCGCCTCGGTGGACTTTGCCGAGACGGCGGGAACGCGCAACTGAGGCCGCGCGCCAGATTGCCACCCCCCACCCCCTGGCCTCCGCGCGCGACGCCACCCAGACCGGCCCCCGGATTTTCCCCATTCCCTCGAACGCCCCCTTTCCTTGACCTCCCCGGCACCTGCTCGAGCACGCGGACCGACTGCTGGATCGCGGCTACGAGCTGGCTGGCGACCGCGCCGCTGGTCTGGATCGCCTCCATCATCTGGGCCATCTCGGCGCTGCTCGCCTCGACTCGGTTTGCAGATGACGCCAGGTCGGGCTTCCTGATCTTGGCCGACTGCTCGGGCGTCGCCGCGCCGCGATTCTCCGTCTTCGGCGGCCCCCACGGCGGCGCCGTCGCGGCCTCCAGCCTGGCCGCCCTTCTCGCCTCCTTCTCCTGCTCGGCCTTCCTGCGAAGCCGAGCCTGCCTCTCCGTCTCGCTGGGAGGCCTGGTCCACGCCCTCCGCGTGCACTCCGGCAGCTCGCGCAGCGCGCGCGCTGGATCCCCGGCCCTGGCCGCCAGCTTCGCGTCGCTGCTCGCAGTGCCCGGCTGGTGCTCCGAGGCTGAGGACCTGGTCGCCGCCTGCTCGCCCCCCATCCGACTCGGGCGCCTCGAGCTTCCCCCAGCCCATCGGGTTCGCTATCGATAAAAACTTTACTGGCTTCTCTCTCTCTCTCTCTCTCTCTCTCTCTCTCTCTCTCTCTGCAGGCTCGAGCTGCACCAGACCTTCTCGGACGGGGCTGACATCGCTCTGGGCTCTGACATATTGGCCCATCCGGGGCCGAATGGAGTGGTGACAAGATTGTCGAGCCCAGAGGTCCCGCGGACGATGGCCAGGGCGATCTCAAGAATGCCCCTCCTCGACGCCTCGCTGCTTCCACTTGTTGTGGGCTGTCTCCTCGACTCTTCGCTGCCCCCGCCCGTCGCGACGCGGCCCTCCTCGCCGCCACCCCCCGATGCCCGACGGGGCCCTCGGGCCGCCCCCCCCCCCCCCCCCCCCCCCCCCCCCCCCGCTGCCTGGATCGACCCCCCAGGGGCCTTCCGCGCCAAGCCCCCCCTTACCCGCCACGCTTCCGACGGGTTCGAAGCCCGGGGGGGCCCGGGCGGGGCGCTCGGGGGACGCGAGAGCGACGAGAGGGGAGGGAGACATGTGAGCTTGAAAATCGTCGGCGCAGAGGCCGGGCCAGTCACGCTCGGCCGCCCCAGGAATTAGGAGTGCCTTCGGGCGGCCATCGTCCGGCGGAGACGTCGGCCAGCGCCCGGACTTCAGCCCGCCCATCATCTTGATCTCGAGATTCTGGCCGTCGACGCGCAAAGTGAGCACGACCCAGGCCAGGCCCACGACGACCCCGATGCCCTCCAGCCAGCGCGCCGGCAGGAGGGGCAGGACGTCCTCGGCCACGACGCGGAACAGGATGAAACACCGGATGCCGACTCGAGTCGCCGGCACCAGGGCCTCTCCGACCACCTCGGCGCTTCCCCCCGCCCCCCTCGCACGGCCACTGCCGTCGGTCTGTGTCGCGTGAAAGCGCCAGCCCTTCATGCGGCCTTTCTGCTGCAACTCCCGGAGCTGGGCCTCTCCCGCGAGCGCCTGTCCGGCTGCCGCGTCGATCGCGACCCCAGGCCCCTCGCTCACTGCGCCGAGCGCGCACGCGTCGTAGTCGGAGCGACTGGCAGATTCGTGGAGGATGCACCTTCGCACAGATCTCCACGACGCGGTCGCCGCCAACCAGGAACGGCGCTCCGTCGGCATCGGCCGCTACGCGCGTGGACCCTGCTCCAGCCCCTGCCGCGGTCTTCGCCCAGGCTGCCGTCGTCGTCGGTTTGGGCTCGCACGCGCGTTCGCGCACCCACCCCCCCATCTGGCGCGCTCCTGCAGGCGAGCGATGCTGAGCCGTGCTTGCCCGCCTGCGGACGTGGAGCTTGACGACCACCAGCCCACTTCGAGTCGGAGAAGTCCTGGTCCTGGGCGATCGCCTCCTTGAGCCCCCTCGACTCGGCCCACCTCCGGGGCCGCCCCCCCTGCCCCCTCTTCTCGCCCATCACCGCGCCTAGCGCCATCGCCGCCTGATCCTCGCCCAGCTCCTGACTGGCAACGGCCTTGCAGAAGGCCGCCGCGTTATATTTGTCCATGGTGAGACCCTCCGCAAGCTCGAAATATGCCTCGGAACCTCTGAGGCCCTCCTGAGGTTCGTAGTCGTCTTCCACGGCGCACACTCTCCGCTTCTTCTGGCTGCCCTTTTTCTCCGCGCCCATCTTCGTCAGCCCTTTTCTGACCGAGTCCAGATCTTCGCGGCCTTGCGTGATCGACAGCAGGTTGATGTCATTTTGCTCGCTCAAGTTGGCTCCGTTGCGCAGCTACTGCACCTGCGCTGTCTCGGGCAAGTCCAGGCCATGTACTTTCGCCGACCGAACCTGCACGTCCCTCCTCACCGCGAACTGGGTGCACGACTCGCCTGGTCGCATCTCTGTATCCTCCAGCGCCAGCTTGAAGCTCTCTGTGACCACGTCGCCGCCCCGGTCGCCGCGGCGCTTCTTCTGGAATTCGATCTGCGCGTCCACGCCGTCAGCGCCGTCTAACTTGTTCTGCTGGTGGAGCAACCTCTCCTGCAGGTCCATCTGCAGTTTTCCAACGACCTTCTCCGCCTGCTTTTCCGCCAGCAGCCCTGCGCGCTGGCTCCAGCGCAAGAGCGCCAAGATGCAGGTGTCCAAGCGCCCGAATCCGCCCCAAGGCTGGGGTCCTTGCGTTTCCATTATCGCTGCTCTCCTGCCGCCGACGCACTCGCATCTGTTGGCGCCCCCAGCCTCGGCGGTGGAGGTGCCTGGGCGAGGGGGCCTCCTGCGGCTCGTTCCTGCTCGCCTGGCGCCGTTGGCGCCCGACGCGCGGTCGGCGCCGCGAGCGCAGCTGCTGTTTCCCCCGCCGCCGTCGGCCGCAGCGCCTTACCGGTGCAGTTGACCTCGCTGGTGGTGGGCGAAAGCGCCCAGCGTGGCAGCGGCGGCTGCTCTGGCGGTCGAACCGCGACCCGCCTCAGGCCGCAGTCCGACTCCCACTCGCCGTTCTGCCAACCGCCGCCGTATGGCCACCAGCTCGCCGGGTTCCACCACGAGCCTGACAAGCTCGACCACCAGCTCGTCGCCGTGCTCGGGCTCGGTGGCGTTGCCGGCATCGCTGTCGGCTGACTCCACGGATCTGTCTGTGCCCACGGATATTGCGCCTGTCGGACTCCGCTGGAAGCCCCCGGTCCCTGCTCAGCTCCTGATGCAACGGTGGGGCGGCCGGGAGCGCCCTCGCTGCCAGAACGCGAGGCTACCCGGTGAATCTCGTCTTGGCCGCCGCTCCCAAACGCTCGCTGCTATTGTTGTTCCTGCTGTCTCCTCCACCACGTTGGGTGGGGTGGCCTGCTCGCCCTCTGCGTCGTGACTGCCACCCGGCCCTCTTCCCCGCGCAACCATAATGCTCCTGCTACCGTGTGAGATGGCGTCCGGATCGGACGGGGGACGGAAGGGGCTAGGCGGGCTCGCGAGAGCGGGCTATGACCCCTCTGACCACACCAAATTTGGAAACTTGGGCCACCACGGCAGTGGTGGTCACGCACACAGTACACGCATGAGGCTTCTACAGAATGCTGGTATTCGTACAGCCTCGACCCACTACACAATATAAAGGACCTCACGGGACGGGGGGGAAAATTCTAAAAAGGCACTTGGTTGAGAGGGCCTCGGATGCGAGGCAGCAACGAGGATGCGCGCCACTCTTCGAAGGCTATCCTCCCCTCTCCCTCCCTCTTGGTTCCCTCCTCATCCAACTCCTCTTCCATCCTCATCCTCCTCCTATTCCCTCCTCCTCCTCCTCCTCCTCCTCCTCCTCCTCCTCCTCCTCTGGCTATTATGCCTCTTATTATTCATGTGATTATGCTTGTTATGAATATTCATATTTACGCGTCTTAGTATTACTCTTGACTATTAGTATTGTTCCTCCCCCTCCTCCTCTTCCTCCTCCTCCTCCTCCTCCTCCTCCTCCTCCTCCTCCTCCTCCTCCTCCTCATCATCATCATCATCATCATCATCATCATCATCATCATCATCATCATCATCATCATCATCATCATCATCATCATCATCATCATCATCATCATCATCATCATCATCATCATCATCATCATCATCATCATCCTCATCCTCATCCTCATCCTCATCCTCATCATCATCCTCATCCTCATCAGCATCATCATCATCATCATCCTCATCCTCATCCTCATCCTCATCCTCATCCTCATCATCATCATCAGCATCATCATCAGCATCATCATCTTCATCATTATCACCATCGTCATTGACGTCGTCATCATCATCATCATCAGTATCATCATCATCATCATCATCATCATCATCATCATCATCATCATCATCATCATCCGCATCATGATCATTATCACCATTGCCAACTTCATCATCAGCATCATCACGATCACCACCATCATCATCATCATCATCATCATCATCATCAGCATCATCCTCAGTATCATCATCCTCGTCATCATCATCATCATCATCATCATCAGCAGCATAATCATCATCGTCTCCGCCATCATCATCAGCATCATCACCATCACCACCATCACCATCATCATCAGCAGCATCATTATTCTCTTCTGATTCCTCCTCCTCATCATCATCCTCCTCTTCCTCCTCATCATCATTATCGTCATCATCCTCAGCATAATCATCACCATCATCGTCGTAATCATCGTCGTCATAATCACCGAAATTGAAAAATGGTCGTCGACATCCTCGTGATCACCATCATCACCACCACGACACTATCATCATCATCATCATCATCATCATCATCATCATCATCATCATCATCATCATCATCATCATCATCATCATCATCATCATCATCGACAACAGTATCACCACAACCACCATCATCATCGTCATCATCATCCTCATCACCATCATCATCAGCAGCACCATCCTCATCAGCATCGCCACCATCACCATCATCATCATCAGCATCATCATAATCAGCATCATCAGCAGATTCGTTTCTATCACCGTCATCATCGACACCAGCACCGTCGTCGCATCAGCATCAGCAGCAGCATCATCAGTATCACCATCATCAGCATCATCATCAGCATTAGCATCATCACTAGCATCAGCAACATCATCATCGTCGCCATCATCATGATCATCATCATCATCAGAGTCAGCATCCTCATCATCATCATCATCATCATCATCATCATCATCATCATCATCATCATCATCATCATCATCATCTTTGACATCGTCGTCATCCCCATCATCCTCATCAGCGTCGTCGTTGTCGTCGTCATCACCATCAGCACCGTCGTCAGCATCGTCAACATCAGCATTGTGATAAGCATCCGCATCATCATCATCAGCATCACCCTCATCATCGCCAACATCGTCATCATCATTACCACCGTCAGCATCATCATCAACATCCTCATCATCAAATATATCACCGTCATCATCGACACCAGCATTGTCGTCACATCAGCATCATCAGCAGCAACATCATCATCATTGCCACCATCATCATCAGCGGCAGCATTTATCTGCAGTAGCATTAAAATCATCAGAATCACCATCATCGTCGTCATCCGCATTATAATCAGCAGCATCAGCATCATCGTTGCCATCGTCATCACCCCCATCATCATCATCATCATCAGCGTCGTCGTTGTCACCGTCGTCGGCATCGTCGTCGTCAGCATCATCGTCATCACCATCATCACCATCATCATCATCATCATCATCAGCATCATCATCATCATCATCACTATCGTCGTCGTCTTCGACATGGTAAACATCACCATACTCGTCGTCGTCATAATCATCACCAGTATCAGCATTGTCGGAGGCACCACCATCATCGGCGTCATTACATTGCGTGGAACGTCCTGTGGGGCCATGAGCCGTGTGAATGGTGTGCCGAAATTGGTGGAGAACAACATGCACACGTCGCCACTGGACTCGTTGGTGAAGCTTCCCACGGGGGCATCAAACATTTAACGGGTGTGACGAAATGAGCGGCGGGGGCGCATGCGGAGGGTGCAGCTTAAGCCTTCGGTGAAGCTCATTGTGGGGCCGCGACGCGTACGAGGGTTGCGCCGAAATGAGTGGCGGGGGCGCATGCAGACGGTACCACGTGGGGCGGGGCCTGGGGTTGGACTCCCTATGGGACCACGAAGCGTGTGAGGGGCGTGCCGGCATGGATTGCGGGGACGCATGCGAACGGCGCCACTGGCGCGTCGGGTGGAGCTGATTGTGGGGCCGCGGAACCTGCGAGGGGCGTGCCGAAATGGGTGGCGGGGGCGCATGCGGGCGGCAACATTGGGATATTGGGTGGAACCCTCATGTGTGACAACGAAGCGTGTGAAGAGTGATTCGAAATCAGCGGCGGGGACGCAGGCGGGCTGCACCATGTGGGGCCCTGGGTGCCCCCACAATATGGGACCACGAAACGTGTGAGGGGTGTGCCGAAATGGGTGGCGGGGGCGCATGCGGACGGCACATTGGGTGGAGATCCCGATGGGAGCACGAAACGTGCGAGGCGTGTGTCGAACGAGTGTTGGTGATGAATGCGGGCTGCACCAGGTGGGCCGTCGGTGAAGCCCCTTGTGCGGTCACGAAGCATGCGAGCGGCGTGCCGAACCGAGTGGCGGGGGCGCATGCGGGCGGCACCATTTGAGCGCTGGATGGAGCCCCCTATTGGGCCACGAAGCTTTTGAGGCGCGGGCCGAACTGGCTTGCACGCGGAGAACAGAGGCAATGATGGAAGGAGGGAGGATGGGGAATGAGGAGTGAACAGAAGGTGAGACGCGGGTCGCTGTCTCGTCAAACTTAACCTGGCGAAGGACCCAACGATATGCAGTTGTGAGTATCGCAGTTGTGGGCATCGTCTTCGGTGGAAATTCCTATGGGCCACAAAAAGGCTGGACTGCGTGGGGGAAACGCATGCGAACTTTGCCACTGGGGCCTTCGGTGGAGCTCCCAATGGGGCCACGAAGCGCTGTACTGGGTGGGCGAGACGCATGCAAACTTTGCCACTGGGGCCTTCGATGGAGCCCCCTATAGGCCACGACACGCTGTACTGGGCGGGGAGACGCGTGCGGGCGGTAGCCATGGGACCTCCAGTGGAGCTCCCCATGGGAACACGAAACGTAACGTTATACTGGGTAGGGTAGGCGCATGCGAACTTTGTCACTGGGGCTTCCGTGCAGCCCCCTATGGGCCACGAAACGCTGCACTGAACGGGGGGAACGCATATGGACGTTGCCACCGGGGCCGCCCGTGGAGCTACCAATGGGGCCACGGAACGCTGCACTGGACGGGGGAAACGCATGTGGACTCCACTTGGGCCTTCGGTGGAGCTCCCTATGAGGCCACGAGGCGCTGTACTGGGTGGGGGGGACACATACGGAGGGTGCCACTGAGGCCCTTGGTGGAGATCCTCATGGGGCCACGAAGCGCTGCACTGGGTGGGGGGGGCGCATGCGGGCGGTACCTTCGGTGGAGCTCCCATATGGGGTCACGGCACGCAGTACTGGGTGGAGGAGACGCATGCGGGCGGTAGCGCTGGGGCCTTCGGTGGAGCTCCCGGTGATGCCACGAGACGCTGTACTGGGCGGGGGGACGCGTGAGAACTTTGCCACTGGGGCCTTCGGCGGAGCTCTATATGGGGCTACAAACGCTGTACTAGTGAGTGGGGGGATGAATGCGAACTTTGCCACTTAGGCCTTCTGTGGAGCTCCCTACGGGGCCTTGAAAGGCTGTTCTGGGTGGGGGGGGGGCGCATGCGGGCAATAACACTGGGACCTTCGGTGGAGCTCCCTATGGGGCCACGGGACGCTGTACTGGCTGGAGGGGACGCATGTGGGCGGTAGCACGGAGGCCTTCTGTGGAGCTCCCTATGAGGTCATGACACGCTGTACTAGGTGGGGGGACGCATGCAGGCGGTAGGTCTGGGACCTTCGGCGGAGCTCCCGATTGGGCCACGAAGCGTACACGGGGTGTGCCGAAATGTGCGGACGCATGCGGGCGGTGGCACTGGGATAATGATGATGATCCACGCATCCAAGAAGGTCTGGAGCGATGATGATGATGATGATGATGATTTTGATGATGATGATGATGATGATGAT